ATGCTCCCACGACGCAACAATGCAACTAGCTGCTGGCCAGAAGCTGATTTCAACAATTAAAACTTAAATAAGCTAAATGATTTAAAGCTTTCGTGACTGCAAGGATTCATCTTCTTTGGTTCTTTCGGTAAAGTCACGTAGAATGAGCAATGGTTATTGTAGCTCTGTCGTCCCGATAGGTTACTTTCACCTGAAGAAGACCACTTGTGTTGTGGCCGAAACGTCGTGAGAATTTTATTGTTTTATTTTATTATTTTATTCTCATTCTACGTGACTTTACCGAAAGAACCAAAGAAGAAGCTAAATGATATTTTACCAGGTGAATGCCACTGAGCGATATACAGTAGCTCTTTTTCAGAAGAGTCCTGGCCACAAATGATATATGCATGCACTGTCATTGCAATATAATCTCAAGAGAGCTTTACAAAAAAATGGATTAGGGTAACTTTCATTTCCAGACGTGTCCTGCCCAAGACCACTTTACTTTGAATAACAATCAACGCGAAGTCTCTAACTTGGAATATTTATGGAGTGCATCGAATACAACGTATAAGTGTACGAAATGTGTGAACCACTCTCATAATGTCTTGTGGGTAATATAGTACATATTCTTTGGTTCTTTCGGTAAAGTCACGTAGAATAAAATAAAATAATAAAACACTAAAAACTGGCAGTCTTTCGTGTAGACTGTAGCCTGGTTATTAAGCTTGGTGAGTACTGGCAGTCTATAATGTAGACTTTAGCCTGGTTCTTAACCTCGGTGAGTGTACTGGCAGTCTATAATGTTGGCTGTAGCAATGGTAATTAAGCTGGGTGAGTGTACTGCCAGTTTTTCATGTAGACTGTAGCCTGGTTTTCAACCTCTGTGAGTGTACTGGCAGTCTATAATGTAGACTTATTCTTGGTTCTTTCGGTAATAAAAATAAAATAAAAAAACAAAAACCACGACGTTTCGATCACAACACAAGCGATCGTCTTCAGGAGGAAAGAGGGGTAAGGTCAGCGAAGGCCACCGTTTTTAAAGGTTTCACAAATGGGCGTGGCACAAGCGCTCCGGTGGCGCAACGAAGTGAAAATGTAATGCAGTACGATCATACATTGACATTAGACCAGAGTGTATTTCACTACCGAAATGCATTTTACAAACATGTAGGTCAGCCGATGAGCCAAGCAGACCAACGTTGTCCGATTGAATTTGTTTATACGAACTGCTTTTGGCTTCTATGAGTCTCATAAATCAATTGGGAAGAGAAAGAGAATATGGATTGGGCATGTGTTCGAGGGAACGCGCTAAAGCGAGTGATCAAGGGGAGATTATTTTGCTGAAGACCCAGAGAATGGAAGGAAGTAAAAGAACGGCGATGCACGGCCATGTTGAACAGGGATGGACGTAAGGACAAATGAAGACAAAGCAATGTGCAGGAGAAAATCAGCGCCTCGGCAGCGAGATGTTAACTACCTCGCCTGGTGTACTGGAGGTCGTGGGTTCGATCCAGACCCTCACGCTTGTTTGTTTGGAGTTTGCATGTTCTCCCCGTGGTCTTGTGGATTTTTCTGCGGGTCCTTCAGTTTTTCCCTCCACATTTAAAATCAACATGTATTTAGAGTATTTGGCTACAATAAATTTGCACGTGATAAGCCACTTCATTGAGCTATCATTTGTGGCCAGGTCGTTTCTGAAAAAAATACAGCTATATAGCTCAGTGGGCCTTACCTGTGAAAATAAAAAAAACATAGTTTTAAGTTTATGTATTTTGAACTTCTTTCGCACCGTACGTAGCCAACCGTGCTAATCGGAGGTGCAATCATCGGCACAGTGTGGCCCATTAAACGATCGGTGCTGGGGTTTGCCTGGTGTGGCAGACCAGGGAGCGCGTTCCACAAGAACGAGTGACTGTGTGTGTGTGTGAAGACTTCAGGGGGTGAGGAACCTCAGGGGGATTTCAGATATCTGGGAAATTCAGGGCCAAATGAGAATTTCAGATATCTTTGGCGGGAGGTGCACGAATATACAAATGATGACAACCCGGCATGCGTATTGGTGAACCAACGAAGTACTATCCAGACTCAAATCTCCGATAAGCACGGTTGGCTACGTATGGTGCGAAAGAAGTTCAACATAAATACAAAGGTGCTTAGCTTTTATACTTCGCCTATGATCAAATTGCCGAGCAGGTGCGAAATCTCACCCCAAGCATCACACATGAAACATGCAATTTTTACTCATTTACAGTTTTTGTTACATACGTTAATCACAGTCATCGCAATCATTGCAGTTTGAGTGATTAACGAACACGGGTTGAAACGGCGATATTCAGAGCTAATTCGTAATCTGTGTGAGTACCTCGGGGAGAGAGAGAGAGAGAGCGAGGGAGGGAGGGAGAGAAGAAAGAGGGGCAAGGAGAGAGATTGATGATGGTGCACAAGATGAATTGATACAGACCCCTGAGTGTGCGTGGCTGTACGCTCGCAGCAATCTCCGTGGTTTTGAATGTCTCTGTTTTATCGCTTGAAATGCATTAAACCGATTTCCCCTACAACATAAAAAAGTCATTTTGTCGAATAATATTTCAACAAGAATCAAAGTCAAAATGCCTCCAAACGCCATCATCTGCCTTGATCAATCCACTGCTGGATGAAGCGCCCCACCCCGTCGCCATCCCTTACAATCCCACGGTGCAACAATCCACCCAGCAGCAGCAGCAGCCTGCACAAGAGCTGATGACGACGACCATACAGCGAAAAGCGTCCCCAGCATGGGGGACCTTCTACTGCAGAATAAGCACCACTGTGTCTCAACGTACTCTGACGAACACTTGTGCGTTTCCTTTACGGCCCGTTAAATACCTCCTTGGTTGTGCGATATCTCTTAAGGATCGTGCACGCGTTCTCTGCATTATTGATGTTTTTTGTTGTTGCTGCTGCTGTGCTCACGCACCACGGATCTCCCTTGTGAAATAGCCGGGCAAAATGGCTCAACGAGATCATCCGTGTAGCAAATCAAACTCACTGGGATGATGGAACCCATATATGTATTCCATAAATAGTCAATGTGAACTCAGCCGAAAATTACCTTAAATGTACAGGGTTATCCATGAGGTCTTATGACCCACGATCAATTTACCCCGAACATTTTTTTCTTTGCATATTAGTTTATGTTTTAAATCAACTTTATTTAGACATATTACATGTATTATTATTTTTCTATCTACATGGCTTTACCGAAAGACCCATATAATATTTATTACGTATTAAAGGATAAAATGGGGGGCACAAGGCATCTGGACCACCCTGTACAACTAATGTATAATAGCTCATGGCCAAGCCATGCGGAATTCACTCAACCTCAGAGCTCACAATCTCAGCAGATTTGAGCCTGGATGGTGCGTATTATTGGATGCCGCAGGGTCTACGTCGTAGGCAGTAGAGGTCAGTGCAGCAACATTCAGTGTAATGTACTGGCGACGTTCCTCGCATAGCGCGTGAAATGCGTTCCTAAAAAGCAGGTCGTAAGTCGAACCGCGCTGTATTAAGCCTGCTTGCCCATAGACATACACGTTTTAAGGGGGGTGGAATTGCGTCACCGAAGCACATGAAGTAATACGTAATCTATTTTAGCCCTGAATTTACAAAATACGTATAAATATATTACTTCATAATACTGTTACTAGCATAACAAAAACTTACTTAACAAGGAATTTAAAAACAAATAATAATTAAGATGAAAATGATGACTGCTTAATAAGGAATGACTTCAGCGCTTCTTGAATGCTTCCGTGGCCTGCCTCTACTGAGATCTGCGATGGCTCAGCCCGAGACGCCATCAGACAGAGTTCAGTCGCTTCACCTGCGACAGATATTTTTTGTAACTTTGAATTTTGATCACTGAACAAGCATTGTTATTTTGACATTTTTAATTAACCTGTTTTTTCTCTCGAGCGCATAACTGTGAAACGCATAGCGTGTGAAGCACGCCCCTAAAACAATGCCGGGCTGGGGAGGGGAAGTGGGTGGGGCTGGGAGTGCTATAACGCTGCGGGCTCTTATGATATAGTTTTTTTCCGAGACCAAGGTGCTCTGCAAACCTTCGGGCTACTATCAAAGGTTTGCTCATAAAGCCTTCCAGATATATAACCATAGACATAACTTCAACCGGGAAGATGGATACAGATTGAGCAATCATTGGAAGGATGTTATTAACCAGGTAAAACCATAACTGCTTTTGACCTGCCTTCATATCCGCATCTCCAGTTTCCTAATCCTCCCACTCCCAGCCTCGCCCACTTCCCCTCCCCACCCCGGCATTTTTTGCCGTGCTTGTGTCTTAACTTGTAGCCTCCACTCCACCTACCCCACACCCCCACCCTCCCTGGCTCCTCCCCCCTTCTCTTGCCTATATAGCCTCTTGTTGCAGCAGCCCTTTTGCCCACTTCAGCAATTGTTTCTTGCTGTGGTTGTTCCCACCTGATGACGGACGCTTGTGTTGCGCCCGAAACGTCGTGATTTAATTTATTTTTCTTGTATACCTACTTGACTTTACCGAAAGAACCAAATAGTATGTGATTTTGTAATCTACCCAATGTATTTATCTGGCAGCCCGCGCGTGATTTGGCCGTGACCGTCCCTCCTTCTGGACGTCACGTCTTGCTAGCCAACCAGACAGCAAAACGTTTTTCTAATGTAGTTTAAAATATCAATGCATATAGATTATTCTGCCGCTGTAAATGTCCACATAAGCCACTTTGTTGAGCTATTTGTGGCCATGCCGTTTATGAAAAATAACTTACCTGGTTAAATAAAAAAGTTTAGTTTTAAATTTGTAGTTTTTTAAAGTGATGTTTACCTTTCCTATACTTTGCACCCATATCGTGTTTTTCTATTGTTGTAACGTTCTGATCGTGTGCCTCTTACTGGACATCTGTGAAAAAGAGCGTTATAGCTCATCGGATTCCTCCTGCAGTACAATAAACATCACGATTGTGTTTTGACTGTGGCTGTAGGCCGCGATGTCACCACCGTGGCTCTGCTGCCTGCTGCTGCTGCTGCTGTGCGGCCTAGCCTCTGCTGGATCGCCCGCAGGAGCAGGTGGCTGCATGGCGGGCTCCAAGAGCAAGCCGAGGCCTGGGCCTGAGCCGGGCCTGCAGGCCTGTAGCCAGTACAACCAGAGTGAGTGTCGCCTTCCACGCCCATCATTGTTGTCAGCCTGTAAGAATCTTCCCATTGCTGGGCAAATGACCCTGAAATTCCTTAATTTCCTTCAAGAGATTTAGTTGCACCTCTTCAGGCGCGATGTCCATCTCTTTCTCTTCTCTCGGTCTCCCACACGGTTGTTAATTCTGTCTCTCGCCGTTCTCGGGATGCGTCCTGCCCACCTATGTCCACTTGATTTCCCTTCGCTTTCACGACTGCATCATCGGTGATTCGTGTGACTTTTTTGTTGCTGAAGCAACCACATTGCCAGGAGGGCTCAACGAGGGCACGGGGTGGTGATGTAGCCACGCCCACAACCCCGCCCACAGCCACACAGCCCCATCCACTCCGTAACTGGCCCCGCCCTGTGCCCAGGTTGCCCCGCCCACTCTACTCAGGACTGTCCCCAATGATGAGTCCGATTCGAGTATGAAGACTGATTTTTTTTTTAATAAACCTGGACGAAATCCCGAATTTCACAAAAGCTTCGGGACACAAACTAATTTCCTATTCATCTTGCATCACACCACCTCACCTCCATTTACAATGCTTGTCCTCCCATCACCTTGCATCACCATCGCATTCTCCCATCTCCCGTTATCGGTTCTCTCTTTACAACGTTTCCCATCATCCCATCAACCCCCTTCTCTTTCTATCACCCTTCTTGTTTATCTCTCCTCATCTCCCTTATATTATTGTCCCATCACTTTCCTTCCTTTCACCTACCTTCAATTACCTGCCTCTTCACCACTGCCATCCTTTCTCCTTCCATCACCGCTAATCTCCACCCTTCATCTCTTTGCTCTTCCCACATCCACCCTTAATCTCTCTCCCTACCCCGCCCATCTCCTTCCTTAATCTTTCTTCACTTCTGATGCCACCCTTCCCATCACCACTTTATCTGCCATCTCTTCACCACTCATCATCTTCCATCACCTACTATCCGCTCCACACCTGCTGTCTTCATATCTCCTCTCTTCCACCGCCAATTACACATACCGTCCCCTGCCACCCCCTCCCTCCACCACCTCTCGTCACCTCCACTCACCGCGCTGCAGACGCGTGCTGCACGCCGGAGTCGGTGCGGCAGCTCTCCCAGTCCCCCGTGGTGCGCGTGGACGAGCTGCTATGGGACCGCTGCGGAAACCTCACCCCCAGGTGCCTCGCCGCTCGCGTGACCGGCCGTGCACCTCCGATTAACGCGTTTGGCTACGTACGGTGCGAAGGATGTTCAACCTGCGCCGTAGGGACCGCACCGTGGCTCCACGGGGCCTGAGAAGGCGGCCGACTTTGTTTCACGGGGCCCGCGACTTCGTCTCAAAAGACCCACAACAGAAATTAACGCGACGTGCGAAAAATTTCGTACAAAGTGCATTTCGCAAAACTTAAGTCACGTTATCCACGACTTCATTTTGCATGACGTTGTTTCGTAGGGCCCGCTACTTAATTTCATGCACTCTGCAGGCCGGATACGGTCCACAAATCAATTTTATGTGGACCTCAGTCACATGAGGCCACAGCTTTGAAACGGAACACAAACGTCATCAACCCCATTGGAACCATTTTCAGCGCATTCATATTTTGTGAGGAATTAAAGGAAGCGCGAAATCTAATCTGTTTTTACGGCCACTTTAGACTTTGTTGAGATTTCATGAATTCCGCGACCACCATCACATGACCTCCGCAACCTTTATTATGACACGTTGTCGACAGTACGATTATTGCGATGAATACGATGAATGTGACAATGATGAATAATGATCGTTGTTGAGGTTGCTGCTGCTGCCGCTGCCACTACTGCTGCCGTTGCTTCGTGTAACCGTTGTGGCATCTCGACCCTGCGCAGCTGCGAGTCGTTCCTCAAGCGGGTCGAGTGCTACTCCCGCTGCTCACCACTCGCATCGCGCTGGGCTCACCGCGCTCACCCCAGCCTCCTCCACCACGTGCCCGTGTGCTCACACTTCTGCGACTCCTGGTAAGTGGGGGAGGCGGGTGCTGCACTGGCGGGATGTTATCTCCCTCGCCTGGTATGCAGGAGGTCATGGGTTTGATCCCGAATCTGACAACGGCTGTTTATTTGGAGTTTGTGTCTCCCTGTCCGTGGTCACGTGAATTTTTCTCCGGGTCCTACGGTCTTTCCCTCCACATTTAGAAACACGCGTTTAGAGTATTTGGCTGCTTTACATTTCCACGTGATAATCCACTTCGTTGATCTATCATTTGTGATAGCTAGGTCACTTCTGAAAAATAGCTACATAGCTCAGTGGCCCTTACCTGCTAAAAAAAAATGTTTAGGTTAGTCAGAAATACGGCGGCCGTTCTTTATGTTATATATGGAATGCCTTCACTCAATGTGTTTGTAGTGGGTTCCACCCCCTATGGACACATGTGTGCTACTACAGGTAAGTGTGCATAACACTATTCCAGACACTGACGCTCCACGTTTAACAAAATAAAAAATACGGTAACAGATTAGAATTATCTGGATGGCAGAGGCGTCTTGTAAGGGCTGAGGAATGAGTGACTGAGGTTGAGGGGTACTTAGGGGTTACGAAAGGGTAGGGGAGGGATGGGAAGGAGTGGAGGGGTGAGGGAAGAGGATGGGCAGTAGAGAAGAGGTGAGGCTGTAAAAGAGATAAAAACCAGCTCAGAGTTTTGGCTTGTTATTGTATCAATGCTGCTGAAATTATGCACTCCTTGAAGGCCGTTTGGCTGGCGGATTGTTAGAGATGCTTTTTATATATACAGTATATATGGAGAGAGAGACATATGACGGGGACATTGTCCGCGTATCTACTGGCAGTACACCTCTTTGACGTGTTTTACAGTTGTATCGCGTGATGTTCGGCGCCACGGTGGTGAGATGTTAAATACCTCGCCTGGTGTACAGGAGGTCGTGGGTTTGAACCCGACCCTAACGCCGTATATTTGGAGTTTGCATGTTCTCCCTGTGGTCTCTGAGATTTTCTCCAGGCCCTTCTATTTTTCCCACCACATTTAGAAACGTGTGTTGAGAGTATTTGGCTGCTAATACATTTCCACGTGATAGGCCACTTTGTTGAGCGATCATTTGTGGCCAGGTCGCTTATGAAAAATAGCTATACAGTTGAGTGGGCCTTAACTGGTAAAATAAAAATAGCTATAAAACAGTTTGTGTGCGTGTCTGCAGGTTCGATGCTTGCCGCGAGGATTTCACGTGCGTGCGCAACTGGATCTATGACTGGGACTGGAGCGTCGAAGGGAACTTCTGTCCCGGAGCCTGCGTGCCTTTTTCTCAGGTTGATTTCATCTCCGTGGTATCCCACCTTTAGGGCGCCAATATGGTGCCTCGCAGCAACAAGGCACCTGAGTTTGATTGGAAACTCAGGCCCCTTCCTGTGTGTGTGTGTGGAGTTTGTATGTTCTCCTCCTGTTCTACATGGATTTCCTCTAGGTTCTCCGGTTCCCTCCTATAGCTAATACAAACTCCAAACAATGAAATCGGTACTGCCCAAACATCCGAATGCTGAAAAATTACCTGCAAATTACTCAAGTGGTATTACACACAGCCGCAATATTGCCCCTACTGTGAAAGCTTGGCAGGTCCCTCCTGAAAAATTATCTTGAGACTCAGTTAGGCTTTCCTGAATAAACAACAATATTTTTAAAATGTAATATTTTTTAAATATTGTCATGCATTTACCATTAAATAATACTTTCGAAAAAAACCTTGAAGCTTAAGGCCGTGTGGCCCACACAGGCAGTCTGACAGGAGTTGGAAACCATGTTGAGAAAAATAAATAGCAGTTTTTTAATCTCTTCTCCAATACCATCCCGACTGCGCTATCCGTGTCGTGAGTCATCACCCTGTGTTAAAGTACGGTCTGTGTTGGGACCATGGGTTCATTTCCTATTTTTCTATCCCCTGCTTTTCATAACCAGTTCAGTTTATATTAATGGTGCGTACGTGCATCATAATGCTATATATCGGGCTCGCGCATTGCCTCAATAAAAAAAGTTAAATAAACGGCCTGCGGAAACGGATATCGCACAAATACTGCTAAGATGGCTCAACAGTAGTGATCTCTGGCTTACATGGCAGGCAGCATTCGCCACTCGGTGAGAGTAATTAATGTTCGTCGCGTGACGGTCAAACCAATGTTTACATTTTCAGAGCTGGAATTTTGCCAAATTTAAGCGCAGAACCAAATTCAACGCAATGGGACATCAACTCACTACGCTTGAGAAGCCGGTTTAATCGTAGGCGGCTGAAACCTGAAATCAAACCCAGCGGTGCCGGCTTAGCGCTCAGATCTCTGAGCCATCCACCTGGCGTCCTCTAGAGATGGAGCAACAAAATCCGCTGAGTGCGGATTGCTGCCTCGCAGAACTGTAACAGCTTGGGAGAAGCCGTCATCGTCCAGTAGTTGATAGATCATGGCTGATGATACCGATGACGACGGCAACGACAGCCGTATTTGCGCGTTCTGTTTTTTTGTACGTGCGCGCAGATGTTCCGGGACGGCCGCGATTTGTGCGAGGGTTTCTGGGGCCTCGCCCTCCTCCCCGTGGCCCATGGAGTGGAGCCGTGCATCTCTCCGGGCGACCGAGAGGGCGACATCACCGCCACCGCCACCGCCACTGGCGCTATCGTGACGTCGACGGTGGTGGAAAGCGCAGCCCCTCCAACGAGGGGCAATGCTGCGAGCCGCGACGTCGCACGCCGTGCCAAACGCGCACTCTTCCAGGAAGAGGTGGAAGGCAGCGGCAGCGGCTTCTGAGAGAGCCGAACTCCCCAGGGGAAATCCGGAAACTCTCCGATGAGGTTTTTTTTTCCGGGCGACACCGTGAATTGTTCAGCATGATGTTCGACGGTTCGCCCTGCGTGCTAGGAGCTTTTTCAGGAATTGAACTGAGTGGCTCACTTTTGTTTGAGATTATATAACGTTGCTGGCTGTCGCTGGTATTGCCAGTACTGGATGGTGATTGGGCTAGAAATGGGAAAGCCTGCAGCAGCCAGCAATGCTAAACAGTCGAGAGAGAGAAAATGAGCTGCTCAGTTTAGTTCTTGAAAAAGCTCCCAGCACACGGTGCGAAACGTCAGTCATGCCGCACACGCGGCACAACCCGAAAAACACATCGCAGAGCTGAACAGCACCACCGTGAAAAACTACACGGTTGTGGAAAATCTGTGGGCAGATGCACAAAAATCCTTAAGTTAAATTTTCCCTAGGTTCTCACTCATTTGAATTGCCAACTAATAGTTCAATATTACTTAAGATATTTAATTCAACTGACCACTGGAAACACGGAATGCAGAACTGGGGAACCTTTTACGAATAGGGCTTTTAAATTAACCTTTGGTGGGCAATCACATTAACACCTTCGCGTTTTCTGATAACACCGCAAAAAAGTAAATGAGGCTCACCTTTAACTCGCACTGATGCAATGTCATGCCTGCTGTCCTCTTGCTAACACATTGACTTTCACATCTCCCTCTCGTAGCCGATTAGTAACGCATCGCATGATCGTGGGAGATGATGATGGTGGCGGATTGGACACGCCTTCATGCAACAGTGGATTCACCAGTAATGATGGCGACCCAATTAATGTGACTAAGATAGCGGAGCGTTTAGCGCGCTGCGCTACAAGCCCAGCAACCCAAGTTTGATTTTCGCTCACGGCCAATGACGATTATCTGAACTGGTTCTGGGCCTCCCCAAGGTCGACTCAGCCTGAGGACTTGGTACGGTATCTAAATATCGCTACTAGGAAGACAAAAGCGGCCAGGCGTGGTGCTAGCCACCCACCCCCTCGTGTGTCGTTCCGGCCTTCATAGGTGCTACTCACTAACAGCACTTGTCCCAACAGTCTGTTAAGGCTACACGGGGTATCTTTGTGGCTAAGATGCTTGAAGTGATGGATTTTGTTTTTCAGGTTTTTTCGAAGGGGGTTAGGCCTCACGTGACCCTGGGCTGAATGAAATGGCGTTGTGGGCCATATGAAATGTAGTTATGGGCCGTGTCTAGCGAATATTGTTGCTCTCCCTGCACTCAAAGCTTCAGATCATCAAACTGGGTCTCGCAGGAGGCAGTTTCCAAAAACGGATCCTAAAACACAATCTAAAGTATCTCTTTTTTAGAGTCTCGATCTGCTCTGAATAAGGGCCATTACCCGAAACGTCACCTATTATATACGTTTCTTTTTAAGGCAGTGTTATTCGTTACAATTGCCAAATCTCTGTGGTCTGTCAGTAAGGGAGTCGGTCGGTGGGGGTACTCGGTCAGTACAATCTCAATTGAGAAACTGTAACGGTGATGTTTCACATTTGGCAAATTTGGACCATTACACTGACACACGATGGCCTACTCTTACGAGAGACTTCACGGGATATTTAGCGTCTGCTGGGAAGCAGACATTGTCAAGATTCTAACCCTAAAGTCAAGTACCACAATCCACCACTGAGTCACAGTAATCTCAAGACCCCAGTCCTGAGAAGCAGTCTTTTGCAGACTGCTTCTCACGAGAAGTCTAAAACACAGTCGAGTTATCTCCTGGAGTTGAGTCCTCCTGTTTCTCAACACCCAATCCTGAGACCCAGTGCTCATTGAATAAAGTCTCAAGCCGGATCTTTAAACCTGGAAGCTGAAATCCAGTCTCTTGGAGTCGAGTATGAAAGCCACTGATTCAGAAACAGTGACCTCAAGTTGCCATAATCTGATGATGTTAAATGAAAAGCTTTGTATCAGCTTAATATTCCTTATGCACATGAGCTTGCAATATACCAGCATTAAAATAAAACAGGTATCGCTCAATTTACGACAGGGATGCGTTTTAAAAAAAACAAGCGGAAAACTAAATTTCGTTTATTCCAACTCTACTCCTCACCTAAAAATATACACCTATAACATTTTTCACAAGACAAAAATAATGATAAAGAACATAAATTATTAAACGATTGAATAATTTTAATAAAAATAATGAACCTTTTGAGGGAACTCACCAAAAGGTCTGCTGCATGTTGGCATGACTGTAACGGTGATGTGGAGGCATTGGTGCTGCACTGCAGGGACACCGTGACGCTGTCGCGGACGGATGACAGCCTCCCCCGTGCTTCTTGCTCAATAATCTCGCGGTGCGTGCCGAAGTGAAATTTCATTAACGCGGAAATTCAATTTCGATCATCCAAAAGTGTCTATAATTTGTCAATTGCATTCACGCGAAATTTGGTAAACCGAACGTTCATAAATCGAGGGATACCTGTGCGCTTCTATGGATACAGCAGAAAGCCAAGCGAGCTCATCCACGTGTGCGTTCACTCACAACGACATTTCTTTGTCATGCATAACTCTAACATACACCTTCGACGTTTATTTAGAACATCAATCATATCACAATTTGAGTAATAGACTGGCACAATTGTGTCCGGTCCGGAAGGCTATGCTAAAGACCACTGCGTCTTCAGAGAATTGTGCTAGTGTTGCGTTTCTGATAATTATTATTTTTAAAACAATTACGTCTGAAGCATCATTGAGAAATGTAAGCCTCTCTTGGACAGGACACGTCGCGGCGAGGAGGGAGGACCGACAACGGTCAGGAATAATAACGGAGCAGCAGCCGAGCAATGGAATGTGTCCAGGAGTACGTCCACCGGGGAGATAGAGCGACGAAATCTGTTCATGTGCCATGGGATCGTTGCATCGTGGGATCGTGAGAGGCGGTGGTGGCGGTTTAGGCAGGCCTTCATCCAGCAGTGGAACGATGATGATGATGGCATAAAGGAGCAGAGTCTGGATGAAATGAGCCCAGGTGGAGTTGTGCGGTGCCATCTGCTAGGCCGCCGTTCTCCGACGCGATGGCATTTTCTTCAAACGGGGCGCAATGTTTCATCTCGTGATACGACACCAATGATGATGCAATTGGGATGTAATAATTGTTCTATCGGGTTTCGCGAAAATTTTATTTCAAAACTACTCGTACACAACTGACTATGCATAAATGGTCTTGACGATGTCTTTATATTAAATTGAATGCTTTAACAGACGCAGTTTAATATATCACTCCAACCATCCTTTCGATTAAGGCTGCTTTACATTGCAATTAAAGACATGCCAATCTATGACTGCAGGGTGTCCTGTGTAAGACTTATTTCTCGACTTCTGGCTCTACCGAGCTATCTCTGTGTTCACGTTTGTGGCGTGGTGCTACCGATCCACAGCGACGTGGTCGCGCGGCGGATTTCTGACTTTTTTTTTAAGATGTAAACTCGATGCATCTAGGCTCCTCCTGCCTGAGCGAAGGTCGCTGCCCTCACGGGTTCTCACGTCCCTGCGTGCGGTGTTGAGGCTGTAGGTCAGCATCGAGGCTGTGGGTCAGCGTTGAGGCCGTGTGTCCATATCGCGTATGTGCATTCATATTCATCACATATGCAGAACGGCACCCAGCGGTATTTTTTCATTGCATCTCCGTTCGAAGTTTCAAACCCCACAGCACGAGCGGCACGGCACTCACTGCTCTTTCCTCGGCATCGTCGCGCGGGACTGAGCTCGCGAAACCGCCCTCTGCGGCCGCCCCCTGTTCCTCGCCGCCGCCCCCTTCAGGCGACCTTTGCCCTCGCCTCCGCTGCTGCCCGCGGCATCGGAGACGTCTGAGGCGGCCCTCGTCGGGAGCGCCGGTGGCAGCTGCGGCGGCGGCGCAGGCCCCGCAGCCGCGTTGCGGTACGAGGGCGAGTACTGTAGCTCCCAGAAGACGGAGAGGTCAGCCAGGCTGTCCCTCCAGGAGCAAGGCCGTGCCCTCTGTCATGAGGAACAACAACGATGACTAAGGTAACAGCGGCAGCAACAATGACGCGGTGGCAACATTGTGGGGTGGAGACCGAGAAAGAGGGGAAGAGAAGCAGAGAGAGAGACAGCAGGACAGCAGCAGCAGCAGTGAGATGACATCACAGAGTTCAGAGGTCACGACCGGACAGAAGCGGCCGCCGGACACTGAAATTCCGCTCGGCACTCACCGCTCCGAACGCCGTCGCATTCAGCGCCGGCGCCGTGTGCGGCCGAGCGCCGCGCGGGCCCGACCCCCTCGGTCCCGACGGACGCGGCTCCGCCGAGTCTCCCGCGCTGGACGTGGGGTACGACGAGGAGGAGGTCGTCACCGGCGCTGCTCCCCTCCTCCGTGTGCCGGCGCTCCATCCCTCCTCCCCCCCCGCCGCCGCCGTCGTTGGCCTCGCGCCGCCTGCCGTGGTCACGGCGGCGGTCCCCGTGTCGGTCGCCGTCCCCGCTACCCGGCGGTCGCGAGGCCCCGAGCGGAGCGAGCGCATCCTCTGGGCGAAGGCGCAAGTGCGCGCGTGGGCCGCGCGCCTGCGCTCCGACCTCTCCCACACGTGGGCCGAGAGCGGCCGCAGAGACGCCGGGAGGCCCGGCGTGAGCGTCGCCGCCTCTGGCCAATTCACGCAAGCGAGAAAAAACAACCGTCGGTGTATTTGTGCGGAATATGTGTACGTTGAACTTCTTTCGCACCGTACATAGCCAACCACGCTAATCGGAGGTGCTTGACAAACGGTCAGGTTGGAGGGTGGGTGGGCGAGAGGACAAACTCGTCTGAGCTCTGTGAGCTGCGAGTGACATCATCACCGCGCACTTGGCCGCCCGTGCATCAGCCAGCCAGCAAAACTTTTTTTAATGCAGTTCGAGTGAAAATAAACTACGCCTTGCAATGAGAACACGGTACATCAAAGAGCGGACAATCCTCTGAAAACCAGGCGACCCTACCTGGGACGCGTCGCGTAGCGAACGTCGGGAAACTCTGCGGACACGCCGGCCCGGTCGCCCCGCATCTCCTCGCACCCAGCGCCATCTCCTCCACGAGGACGACACCCAACTGCTGACCCAGCGACCTCCAGGCCGGCTCTGCGGGTCCTTGGCTCCGCCCTTCCGCTCGCGGGATCGTCCACCTTCCGCTCAGCAAGCGCGCAGATCGCTGGGAGCCGGTCGCGACTCCGCACGGCTCGGCGGGCGTCTCCGTCGGCCTCGCGAGCGCCTCCGACTCAACGCTGCCTCCCAGACGTGCCTCCGAGTCAATCGCCTCTAGCTGCCGCGGTTGGCCGGTTGACTTACCCAACTCGACTTTTGTGTCGTATCGAGTCTCCAAACCGATCTCATCGTCCCCGAGTGTCTTTCGGCGGACACCCTCTTCCCGACCACCGGGCCCTGCCGTAAAATCGTCCCGGTCTCCCCTCAGGTCTCCTGGCGTCTCCCCGTTGTCCCGACCTTTCATCCGATCCCCGCGCTCCTCCGCACCTCCCGGGTCTCCCCGCGTCGTCGCCACCCCTTCCCCCGGCCGCCCGATAGCGCTCTCGCATGCTCCCCGGCCCAGCTCCCTGGCGAGGGCCGCTGCGCTCCTCCCGCGGGCATCCCGCGCCTCCCCGGGCTCCAGGCGCTGGCGCCGCATGGCCGCGGCGAGGGCGGCTGCCTCGCGGGGCCGGTCGGCCCACACGGCGAGGTGCAGCGCCGTCATGCGCGCCGAGCGCTCGCGCTGCGCCACCTCGCCCCCCTCGCCCGCCGCCAGCAGCAGCTGCAGCAGCCGCCCGCGGCCCAGCGTCGCCGCCAACATGATGGCGTCCCAGCCGCCCGCCGGCTCCCTGTCTCCCACTCGCGCGCCCGCCTGGGGGGGGGCGGAGGGGGGAGCAGGGGCAGCACACGGTTCACGGGTGGGCACGGGGAGGGGGGCGGCGTGGTGGGCGCAGAGGTCAATGCGGGGGTCAACGAGGGCGGCAGCGTGGTGGACACGGGGGTCAACGCGGAGGTCAACGAGGAGGGCGGCGGTGTGGTGGGCACTGACGGCGACGTGACCATCGATCGCGCAGACGGTCGCAACTGCACCGGGGCCCGCAGGACACAGCCCCCCCCCCCCCTCCCGTCACCTGCAGCAGCATCCGCGCGCAAGCCAGGGCGCGGGCCTCCCCGTCGTGCAGCGCGCACAGCATGAGCGGCGTGACCCCCCCGGGCCCCCGCCCCCCCCGGATCGGCCCCCCCGTCCTCCAGCAGCGTGCGCGCCCGCGCCAGATCCCCGCTGCGCACGGCCGCGTGCAGCTCCATGCTCGACCCTGCAGAGGGGCAGAGAAGAGCGGGGACCCCCCCCCTCCTCGCAGGTGGAGCGATGATTGAGTTACCCCCCAACAGGTCCCAGCGGGAGCGCATTGCACCCTGAGTCGGTCTGAGCATGTCTCATCGTGCACTCTGATGAGTCCAGTCCGTCACGACTGGCTAATTGCAGTCAATTTGATCTTCGTAAAAAAGAAAAAAAATAACCCGATTTGATTTGTTAAAATAGTTATATAGTAATAACCCAACGTATCCTGATTTTGGGCTACCCTACATATATACACATACGAATTGTAGAGCTAATCCAAAGTTAAAACGAACAAAACTACGATAATTTCGGCACACTACTGGCGGTAACTAACACTACACACATGGTGATGATATGGTTTTAATCATCACATAACCCATATCGTTCATCAGAGCGCCACAATCTAGCGTTTTATATCGTTACACAGCGGTATAGTACTTATTATTATGAGAGCAGCTGCCACCATAACGTAAATGGTCACCAACACTGGACAATCTAGAGACGCTGCAGTTCAATTCCATCTCCAGGTGCAGCAGTTTAAACAATGAGCCAACTTTCTTAAATCCCTAAATTACCTCCCCACCACCACCCGGGCCGACCTCGGTCCGTCCACCCAGCAGCAGTACGAGTTCAGTAACACCACCACCAGTCGATCAGCTTGGTCGTGTCTGGTGGGGTAAAGTGTGGGTACTCCCACCTCCTCCAAGACGTAGCGGCTCTCGAGAGCGCCCTCGACTGGAGGTCCTTTAGTGGGGGTGATTAACTCAAAAACCCGAGGGCCCTTGGGCTGGACCAATCACAACGAATCCGGCTCCGTGCTCAGTTGGGTACTAGAGGTGGCTCGCCCTCACCTATGCCAATTCCTTACCTGGTCCACGTGGCCGCTGTGTGCCCCGTGGCGTCTCCTCTGACGGTGCCACGAGCCTCACCGAGACCTTTCTGCTTTGGGCCACTGCCATGACGTGGGTGGGTGGTGGTGGAGGAGGTGGTCGCGTCTTTGGTGGTCGTGTAAGTTGAAAGAAGCCCTGGAGGGTCTAGACAAACATTTGATGCACAAACAAGTTCACTCACTCATACAAAGAAACAGATCCCCCGTATAGCATCTCACAGACTGTTGGGGCAGGTGCTGTGAGCGAGTAAGCACAATTATGAAGGCCTCAACGGCACACGAGTAGGTGGCCAACAGCACCACGCCGGACCGCCTTTGTCTCCCAAGCGATGATGTTCACACACCGCACCAGGTACTCAAGTATGGCTGAGTTAACCCAGGGGAGGCCCGCGACCGGTTAAAATATTCGTCACCGATGTTGGCCGTGAGCGGGAATCGAACACGGGTCGCCAGTGCTAACCACTGCACCACCGCTCCCCACTCACCCACCGATAGTGGCACACGAAACTACGTGTATTTTTATTTTACCAGGTAAGGCCCACTGAGCTAAATAGCTGTTTTTCAGAAGCAACCTGGCCGGGAATGATAGCTCAATGACGTGGCTTATTTCGTGGCAATGTATAGCAATCAAATACTCTAAACGCACGTTCCTAAATGTAGAGGGAAACCCCGAACTCATAACAAACACACCGAGTTAATTCTAAAGCCCCTTTTGTCTATTTATCCACTGCTAGATGAATGCAGCCCTTCTCCACCCGTGGCCGTGACTGTTGTTTGTTGGCCACACTTCATCACGTTTGTCAATACGGATCGATGACGTGGGAGGCCCAAGCAAAAGGACCGGAACCTGCCACTGATGTTAGCCGTGACACGCTTAACTAAATAGTTACACACAATACAGGCTCACGTCGTTTTAAATTGCCATTCATATAGCTGTAAAGATAAAGATCCCCCGTGTAACCTTTGACAGGTTGTTGGGGCGAGTGTTTTAGCGAGCAGCACCTATGAATGCCCGGGCACACGATGCCCCCACGCGGTGGTGTGGTCAAACCACGCCCGGCCGCCTTTGTCTCTCCACAGTGATGATATTTACTCCACGCAAAAGGTAACAATTTGGGGTAAATGACACACACGCAGCAGTGTACGCAAAAATATACACGGTACACTTAGAGAATACACTCAACACATTCACCACACGTATACATAAATACACAATACATTTCATATAACGTACATAAAATACATACTCTACTCATAAACTTACCCTATCCTGTACATATACAACACATGCACACTTACAACAGATACATTGCACTTCATTACCACACACGGATACATAAATACCCAATATAATGTACACATACAACACAATACGGTAGCATACTGCACAATACGTACCACATTCAGTCCATACATCCATACATAATGCAGCACGTACACACAACACATAAACTCAACATGACACTCAGCACACATACGCACGTCTGATGGACATTAAATACCTCCATCCACACGCAGAAGGTACGATGCATACACATATACACACCTTCCGATAGAGTACAGGTGGACTGCACAATCATACCCTCTCTCAATTACACTCACTCACAATGTGTATGTCACACTCCTCAACACTCATAAGCTATCTTACCCAAACACACAATCTGTCTTGCTCACAATATTTCGCGTACACACTCTCTCAGTCTCGAACTCATTTACAATCCTCACAATCTCTCTACACACTCCTCACACTCGATACATATCACACTCAGTCTCAATATCTCACACTCGCACAATCTCACACGCACAAAATCTCCCGCACACTCAATCTCTCATACTCACACACGCATAATCTCACACACACAATCTCCCGCACACTCAATCTCTCACGCAACTTTGCTCTTCCTCTCGCTCTCTCACAATATCTCTCACTCACAATCTTTCTCCCGCACACACACACACAATCTCACGCACAACCGATCGCTTACACACGCACACATATACAATCTTGTTCTCGCATACTCACGTTTCTCACACTCTCACAGTCGCACACACGCACAATCTGCCCAATACACACTCAATCCCTCTCACACACTCGCAATCCCTCTCTCTCTCTTCTCGTGCACTCTCACACACGAGATCCCACTCACACACCTGAGATGTCTGAACATGTTGGGCTGTACCACTTGCAGCACAGGTACAGGTGTGATGGAGAAGGGCTAATCTTCTTTGGTTCTTTCGGTAAAGTCACGTCGAATGAGAATAAAATAATAAATTGATAAAATTAAATAACACAATCATATTCTCACGACGTTTCGGCCACAACACAAGCGGCCTTCATCAGGTGAAGGGACGAGACTGTCTGGAGGACAGCGCTGGAGTGAAAAAGCCACGCTCAGATCACGACCTTTAAGCTGTGTGAGAAGAAACAAAGCGCCTTGACAAAGGAATTAGCATAGAATTTAGCATTGAAATGGCTGAGTGATTAGCTTGTGACTGGTCACAGAAATGGCTATGTTAAAGTTAAAGCATACACATCCGCAAAGGCACCCCTTGACATAGGAATTAGCATAGAATTTAGCATTGAAATAGCTAAGGGCTAATCGTTGGCACCCTTGAGCACCCAAAGCAAACCCCGCTGCAATGGTACAGCCCACAGCTCTCACATCACAGAGCACAGTACAGTGCTTCAATGCTGTTTAATCAGTTGGGCTCCCAGCGAGACCCCGGGAAACGTAATTGCATAACCACAACTCTTCCAATGCACGCAGGGCAGGGTGGCGCGTTGGTCCCACTTGTGCCCCACAGCAAGGGCTCAAGTTCCATTGCCGAATAGGTCGCCTTTCTCTGTCCTCTTGGGTTTCCTATGGATTCGCCGCCCGCCCCCCCATAGCTAGAGAAGCGTACAATGTAACTGGCATGTGCCAAACATACAAATGCGGAAAAAATACCTGAAAATGTACTCAATTGGGATTACACACAGCAACGGCATCGGAACCCTACTGCGAAAACTTGGCAGGACCATCCTGAAGTGGAATCTTGAGACTCTGCGAGACTTGACCGCAGTGCTTCTTCATTGCAAGGCCCGCGGGCCACTGGCGGCCCCTGGTGGCCTTTAATGCGGCCCCTGACAATACACAGATGGTGACAACAACCATCGTGTTGTCAAACCCCAATGGTTTCAAATGTACGGCGGCCCTCACACGGATGTCTTATGGCGAAAGTGGCCCCGCTCTGAAAATGAGTAAAGAACACGGCTCCTCCACTGGGTGAGGCGGTGGCATAACATCTCCTGGCCAACGCCAAAATGGGTGGTGGGTGAGATCTAAGCCAGCCATGGGTGTGACCGCCTCCACCAACCCACAGCACTGGCCAAGCATGGTGAAGTATGGTCAAATATCCCCCCTCATCCACGAATCACACGGCGTGGGGAAGGCTTCATCCGGCAGTGGATTTAAAAATAGCCGCAGTTAATTGTTGCGGAAATTTTTAAAATGTTTACTTACAAAGCCTGAATAAAGAAAAGTAAATTTTAAACCCACAGCATAGTTTTGAGATTCACATTTTAAAAGTTGCGAGTTAAAATCTTGGTTAGGGGTAGACTCAACCCATCAGCTCTCTCTCTGGAGTCAATTAAATAAGTGACCACTTCGTGGGGAGTCACCAATGATTGTCCTATGGATGGACGCCGCCATAAAAAAAATTGAAATTCCCACCACTCGCTCTGCAGGACTGTAAACAGGAGCTCAGCACCAATGCGTCGATGCGCAGTCGAGCAGCCGAAAATCACGAAGACTTTTTTTTTTATCCATACGACACTGAAATTATAACATACAATACACACACTGTCCATGGAATATAATGGTTTTAAGACAGGCTCTAGAGAGGAACAGGCAAACGCACACGCATCGGTGGCGAGATGTCAACTACCTTGCCAGGTATACAGGAGGTCGTGGGTTCGATCCCGAAGCCTGTATATTTGGAGTCTCTCCAAGTGACCCGTGGATTTTGGTCCGGGTCACCCGGTTTTTCTCTCCACATTTAGAATCAAAATGCGTTTCAAATATTTGCTTTCTATAAATGTCCACACAATAAGCCACTTTGTTGTGCTATAATTTATGATAACCAAGTTGCTTATCAAAATAGCTATATAGATCAGTGGGCTTTACCTGGTAAAATAAAAAAAAATAGTTTATGTTTTATAGTTTATAATGTTCACCTAGGCCTACTATATTAATTCATGTAAGCGACTTTGGCTAAACGTACACAGTAATTAGCTTTGCGTAGGCGAGACTGATGACCTTTATGTTAACTGTGGGAGAACTCAGTTGGTGTTCTCGGTGTCTGGAAGAGGGGGGAAGTGTTCTCATGGTCATGTAGGCAAAGGTGCAGCTATGTAATTGCCACTTCTGACATTTGTAAGACAAGACCGGGAGGAATATCTTACAGCACCAGAAGAGAGGAGAGATGCGTGTAAGTGCATTGTCTCTTTGCTGATCTCATCAAGGAGCATAAACTGCCATGGGGGCTCCGGTCATCCTCGCAGCTGGCCATGAAACAAAGACGGTTACCGCATTGCGCACTTTCAGATGCGCTTCTGCGGCCGTCTGTCACACTCTTCCTTCCGATACTAGGAAATCACTGGAGCTATGCACTTTTAAATCTAGATTGAAAACTAATTTCCTTGGATCTGCTTTTTTGTGTTTTTGTTGTCCTTCTCCCGCACCTCCAATTAGCACGTTTGGCTACGTACGGTGCAAAAGAAGTTCAACATACACACATACGTCTCGCAGTGGTACATATACAGGCCTAAATTAGTTTTTTTGTGGCACTGCTGATTATTCACGCTACTGCTGGCAAAAGGGCCTCCACCTGATAGAGCTCCGCAGAGCTCACCACTACAGAGTAATTGGCCTACTCTTCCACCACCTGCCGATCGACTGTGGTATGTACCCATGTGTATACTGGTGGGTGGACAGAGAGGCGCTGGGGAATTAAGAAATATTTTTTTGTAATTTTGAGGTGGCTCAGAGTTCAGAGCACTGAGCTGGCACTGTTCGGATCTTGTGATCATACACTGGGTTCTCAAGTTCAGAGATTTGACTGCAATTTGGCTAAATTCCAGTTTAACACGTAGTAGGCTTTCGCGACCAATATTATTCATAAGAAACGTTTTTCGGGTTAGATCGCGTAAATATAAATGTGTCGTTAACCCCGCCACCATCCGACACGGACGATTAGGAAGGTTAGTCACGTAACAAAAACGTGCCAATTGGTTACTACTGCAGCACACCGGTCTGTTGGAGAGTCAACCCACAACATTTACAATTATGGCAAATCGCCTGATGAAGCTGATTGTAATCACCAACGAAACATTGCACTCAAATTGTAAATGTGTTTTTTTGCCGTATTCTTTGTCTCGTCGCGACGACAGCCCCCGTCGAATTAAAATCATAATTCGTTACATTTATTCGTCTGTGTGGCTGCGCTACGAACCCGGCGACCCCAGTTCGATTTCTGCTCAAGGCCAACGCCAGTGACGACTATCTGAACCGGTTCTGGGCCTCCCCTAGACCGACTCAGCCTCAAATGAGTACGTGGTGCAGTGTCTAAACATCGCCATGAGGGAGACAAAGGCGGCTGGGGGTGGTGCTGGCCACCTACCCCCACATGTGCCGTACCGGCCTTCATAGGTGCTACTCGCCAACAGTCCGTTAAGGCGATACGGGGGAGCTTTGTCTTTCGTGTGATTTCATCATCACCAGCAACAAATACAGTGAGGGAAAAAAGTATTTGATCCCCTGCTGATTTTGTACGTTTGCCCACTGATAAAGAAATGATCAGTCTATAATTTTAATGGAAGGTTTATTTGAACAGTGAAAGACAGAATAACAACAACAAAATCCAGAAAAACGCATGTCAAAAATGTTATGAATTGATTGGCATTTTAATGAGGGAAATAAGTATTTGACCCCTCTGCAAAACATGACTTAGTACTTGGTGGCAAAACCCTTGTTGGCAATCACAGAGGTCAGACGTTTCTTGTAGTTGGCCACCAGGTTTGCACACAACTCAGGAGGAAGTTTCGAAGCTGACGTTTGGCAACTCGAACCTTCAGCTCCCTCCACAGATTTTCTATGGGATTAAGGTCTGGAGACTGGCTAGGCCACTCCAGGACCTTAATGTGCTTCTTCTTGAGCCACTCCTTTGTTGCCTTGGCCGTGTGTTTTGGGTAATTGTCATGCTGGAATACCCATCCACGACCCATTTTCAATGCCCTGGCTGAGGGAAGGAGGTTCTCACGCAAGATTTGACGGCATATGGCCCCGTCCATCGTCCCTTTGATGCGGTGAAGTTGTCCTGTCCCCTTAGCAGAAAAACACCTCCAAAGCATAATGTTTCCACCTCCATGTTTGACAGTGGGGATGGTGTTCTTGTGGTCATAGGCAGCATTCCTCCTCCTCCAAACACGGCGAGTTGAGTTGATGCCAAAGAGCTCCATTTTGGTCTCATCTGACCACAACACATTCACCCAGTTGTCCTCTGAATCATTCAGATGTTCATTGGCAAACTTCAGACGGGCATGTATATGTGCTTTCTTGAGCAGGGGGATCTTGCGGGCGCTGCAAGATTTCAGTCCTTCACGGCGTGTGTTACCAATTGTTTTCTTGGTGACTATGGTCCCAGCTGCCTTGAGATCATTGACAAGATCCTCCCGTGTAGTTCTGGGCTGATTCCTCACCGTTCTCATGATCATTGCAACTCCACGAGGTGAGATCTTGCATGGAGCCCCAGGCCGAGGGAGATTGACAGTTCTTTTGTGTTTCTTCCATTTACGAATAATCGCACTAACTGTTGTCACCTTCTCACCAAGCTGCTTGGCAATGGTCTTGTAGCCCATTCCAGCCTTGTGTAGGTCTATAATCTTGTCCCTGAGATCCTTGGAGAGATCTTTGGTCTTGGCCATGGTGGAGAGTTTGGAATCTGATTGATTGATTGCTTCTGTGGACAGGTGTCTTTTATACAGGTAACAAGCTGAGATTAGAAGCACTCCCTTTAAGAGTGTGCTCCTAATCTCAGCTCGTTACCTGTATAAAAGACACCTGGGAGCCAGAAATCTTTCTGATTGAGAGGGGGTCAAATACTTATTTCCCTAATTAAATTGCAAATCAATTTATAACATTTTTGACATGCGTTTTTCTGGATTTTTTTGTTGTTATTCTGTCTTTCACTGTTCAAATAAACCTACCATTAAAATTATAGACTGATCATTTCTTTGTCAGTGGGCAAACGTACAAAATCAGCAGGGGATCAAATACTTTTTTCCCTCATTGTAGCTGATGAAGTCACACACGCAATAAGATAAAAAAGTATGTTTGCAAGGGTGTGAAAATCTCAAATCTGTGGACGTTTAGTACAGTCTTAGTCTGAGGAATGTAACAGAATAATTATATTTGAACCAGCAGTTAGACATTTAGTCCACTTTCATTGGGGTGCGTAATTTTCTCTCAGTCTCCCGCCGTAAATATGATCTCAGCCAAGTAAACTCCTCAGTAAATCTGTGTACCTTTGAGTATATATGTATATCCAATTGTAATGTTTGGCTTTCCTCAGTGCACTGCAGTCCCTAGGCACACAACTAAACTATCACAGTATTCACTCAGACTCGTTAATTTAATCCCGTCGCAAGTCAGTCACGCTCTTGTCTTTGGTGGGCAGTAGTCAACACTGGATCGGTTTTGACATTTCAAAGTCTCATCAGCAGACTTGGGTCTCGCTTGACACCAATGCTGGTGAACTGCCCATATGTTTATCGACAATGACCCTCTGTCTATTACAGATGGGTCCCCCAGTTCGACGCAACGCTACATTGTAAATAACACAAAATAAGTCTTATTGGCGTTGTGGGAAATATAAGCAACACAATACGCAGACAACATGGTCTCTTTACCATTTTTTGTCGTTCCACATATTAAAAAGTATTTTCTTACACATCCCACTTTGTGGAGTCAGGTTATAAACAAGACAAAGATCCCCCGTATAGCCTTAACATACTCTTGGGGCAAGTGCTGTTATTTAGGTCGGCACGAATCACGAGGGGGTGGCTGGCCAGCACCACCCCGGCCGCCTTTGTCTCTCCAGTGCCCACCTCTACACAAGAACACGCGCGCACTCTCTGTTGACACTGGATGATGGCACGCGAACTTGGGGAAGGCCAAGTACGGGGGTTGCTGGGCAGGCAGGCGGGAGAGGGGTTGGGTAGGATCGGTGTTGTTACACTTAATCTTGGGGGCTCACTCACGGTTGTCCTCACTGTGTTGGTTGCCATGGTGCCCCTTTGTAAATAAAACAAAAATATAATCGTTCGCGTCGTTGTGGAGAGTGTGAGCAACACAATAAATAAGCAGACGAATACATCTCCTTCGTTTGTCTGTCTGTCCCCCCAGACATGAAATTATATAAAAGTATTGATTTGAAGCTTTCGTGACTGCAAGGATTCATCTTCTTTGGTTCTTTCGGTAAAGTCACGTAGAATGAGAATAAAATAACACAATAATTTGAAGCTCTGTCGTCCCGACAGTTCTGTACCTTTCACCTGAAGACGGCCGCTTGCGTTGTGGCCGAAACGTCGTGAGAATTTTATTGTGTTATTTTATTATTTTATTCTCATTCTACGTGACTTTACCGAAAGAACCAAAGAAGATATATAAAAGTAGTTTTTGTATCGTTGCTTCCCGTCAACCACACGTACTTCTGTGAGAGTGTAATTTGAGAGTTTTGCTTCAGGTGAGCCAATGCTGCTGAAATGATGCACTCCCAGAAGGCCTTGTGGTTGATGGGATGTGTAAACAAATTTACGTTTATGTTATTTTATGTAAAGGGACAGATATATGAAGGATGTACTGTATATAGCGTCTGCTTCATTATTTTGTGTAAGTGAAGCAGTGTGCTTTAAAACCTATTCATCCACCCATGCAATAATATACGTACACCCAATAAGCATGCAATGAATGTTGGCCCAACGTTAAATTTTCACCTGGGCAAGGTGGCTCACCAGTAGAGCAATCGGAAAGTTGAGAGTTCAAATATTGCGAAGTTGATTCATCCAATCATCCCACTGTGGTCGGTAAAATTAATACCCACTTTGAGGGAAAGTCAAAAATGGCCATCCCAGTCACAAGTGAGATATATGTTCAAGGTTTAGATGCTATATATCTTTATCCACCTCACACATTCTTAAAAACTATTATTGCTTGAAGAAACAGCACGTCTTCCAGAAAGAAGAATTGTAAACACAGCGAGCTGGCTGGGCATACATACAGCGTGTTATAAAGAAGGGCTATTGCCCGAAACGACGCTTATTATATACTTTTTACTTTCAAACTCACACTTTTTTTGACGAATGTCAGAACTAAAACGATACAGGAGTACACTGCGTGTTCCCAATGTGATGTGTACGTGCGACATCTAGTGTCGCGATTGTGAAAACCCAAGTGCACTTGTTTCAAGTTATAGTCGCAACAATATAATTATCCACGATACGATATAAAATGTCACGATTGTCGCGATATAACTTTCACGTAACTTGGTCATCGTTATTGGAAATGTTTTGGATTGTTTTTGTGCTTTGCTGTACTTTAAGGAACGAATAAAGATTTACTTAAAAGTTCTCCAACTGCAGTTCACTCTAGACAATTCTTCCAGAAGGCTTGCCATCATCATAATCGATAACGCACATGCTCTCGGTAACACGCAAATTACTTCAATTATAAAAATGCCATCGGAAAACTATGGTGTGATATGATCGCACATCCCGGTAATTATTCGGAAGAGCATTTTTACTAAGCATGAATTTAAAGTATAGCTATTTATTTACAACGTTAAGTGTAAGTTGGTTATTCCACACACATTTTCCAAGGAAGTCAATGAATGTATGAAATGAGCACCGATAATCGCGATAGTACGATTATTTTGTAAAACGGACGATACGATTATAATTAATCTTATATCGTACTATATATCGTCGTGTATATATTCCGGTTCTGAGGTGGACATTTCAAGATCCGAAGTTTTAATATGGTCAGCTGCCCGTCACCAAAGGCCCATGCACCTACCCACATAGAGATCTACATCGACTCACATAGAGACCCACATACCCAGAGATTAACCTGGGTCCTTAAGTGTCGTGAGTTGAAGGTCTCAGCCTGGTCATCATTGACTGCACAAACCCCCCATCATATTAGATTTATTTCTATATTCGATTTGTATTCATTCCAGCTCGATTAATTAAAAGTATCCGTTTGAATGTGTAAAGCCAAATCCACCTACTCGTGATGACTGTGAAAAGGCCCTTGGGAGACGTCTACACACGGCAGTCAGAATGGCACGGCCAGTGTCTGCATGGGGTGCTGTGGTGGCGAGATGTTAACTACCTTGCTTGGTATACATGAGGTCGTGGGTTCGATCCCTACCCTGACACCGATATATTTGGAGTTTGCATGTTCTTCCCATGGTCGCGTGGATTTTTTTTCTCCGGGTCCTCCAGTTTTTCCCTCCACATTTAGAAACGTCCGTTTAGAGTATTTGGCTGCTATGAAATGTCACGTGATGAGCCACTTCGTTGGGCTATCATTTGTGGCCAGGTGGCTTCTGAAAAAGAGCTATATATAGCTCAGTGGGCCTTACCTGGTAAAATAAAAAATAGTTTATCGTATGTTACTTTAAATTTATCCGACGTGTGAAGTGTCCTGGGTTACCTTTAAAATATTGCACATCGCCATCTGCTGGAGACATTGCAGACTCAATGCCCTTGCATGAATGTGCAGTTCCCGTACTGTGCAGGTTTATTGTGGTGTCACTTTTTCGCCATTGACACTCACAGTGGTTTTCTTTTGAGAATGTTTCAATTGCTAATTCATTGGGCTCATGCTAGTGATTCAAGTCAAAGCAATTCCCTTCTGACATTAATATTGGAGGCATCGGTGCTTATTTGATTGAGAATTGCCAAGGACCAAATCGCCTGTAATGTGCCCCCATCTCATGAGATATTTGAAGCTAAGCAGGTATGAGCTTGCATTGTGCATGAATGGTTGAGCGCCATGCATTACAGGTTTCATAGGTTGCTGTTGTGGCTGTGGAGCTTTGTTATGGGTAGCACAGGGCAGATAGCATAATCCATTGTTGTACTGCACTATGCTGCATGCCTTCACCAGCCAGCTGCCGTGGAGTATGGTCAAATGGCTCTCAATCCAGCGGTGGATTGACAAAATTACTATTTTTTGGAGACAAAGTTACATGTTTCAAAGAAAACAGAAATGTGTAATATAAGCACTCAGCCTTTTTGCATGATGCAAAAAACATCAGTTCCTGAAGAACTGTACGGTGGTCCTATTGTCTGCGGTCACCATCAAAGTAAATTTGAGTCAACGTGATCGGCAGGCAGTAGCAGCAATCATGGAAAGAACTTAGCAGGTGATATTGCGTTGGCAGTGGTGCACAAGCACGCATAATCTTCTTGGTTCTTGCGGTAAAGTCACGTAGAATTGGAAATAAAATAAATAAAATAAAACATAATGAAATAAAAAAATATTTTAAAAACTCAACACATTCGTCATGAACAGGCCCCATGGTGTAAACTGCAGTCTCCAACACTTATTCAGTCTCTGGCATCTCTATTCACGTGGTATGAAGGGCCATTTCCCGAAATGTTGCCTGTTAGATACTTTTCCAATTCAAGACACAATGTTACGAGTTTGGTTTATTTTGGCACAGGTAAAACACATAGGGCAATGAATGCTCATTTTCGATGGGGACCTGGAAACACCGTATAAACTTGGTTACTACAGCAAAACAAATACGTGAACCAAAACGAACAACTGTGTACGTAGTGAAGTTGCGAATGGCAAAGTCGTGCATCAACATCATGGCAATACCAGCACAAAGAACGAAGCAAAGCTGGCAGAACGCATCTCGAACAAACAAAATCTTGTAAGAAAAACAGCACCGAGGTCGGTAGGATTGTAAAAACACACGCGTCTAAAAAAAGTCAGCAAAGTAGAGCCATAGATTAATTGTACGAACACTTGAAAGGACATCTAAACTCTGAAAGTGATTTAGAATCAGAATATTTATTTATACTGCAGGAGGAATCCGATGAGCTATAAAGCTCTTTGTCACAGATCTCCAGTCGGGGCAGGTCACAATACAACAGTAAACAATACAAAAACAGTGCAAAGTATAGGTGAAGTAAACATCATTAAAGAAAGATATACAAATAAAACTAAACAATGCTTTATTTTATCAGGTAATGCCCACTGAGCTATTAGCTTCTTTTTCAGAAGCGACCTGGCCACAAATGATAGCTCAAAGAAGTGGCTTGTCGGAGGACCCGGACATGCAGACTGAAAATATTCAGGTGTCAGGATTGGGATCGAACCGCCCGACCTCCTGCATACCAGACGAGGACGATAAGATCACAAAATTGAAAGTGGGACAAGGATGTTGAGATTTTTGATGCCAAATATTTTCGCGAGGTTATTGGCAGAGATGAGGAGCCGCCACTACACGGAGGGAATCTAAACCGAGTCTGGTTCTCCACCCACAGTTAAGGGGGCTTTAATCACTAACAGGGTGAAGGAGTTTCTAAAGATACGGGAATTTACCTGGGAGATTAAATGATCGACAAGTTATTTAGCAGACGTATTTTGGCGAATGTGTTGTATTGTCACTGAGATAAAATGTACAGCGTGTGACTCCCAATTCATTCTCTAAAACGTAATTTTTAAAAAGTACAATATATTTAAAACATAAATTTATATGCGAAGGGAAACGATGTTAGGTGTCAATTAATTAGGGGGATGGAGTCACAAGACGCCTGGACCACCCAGTGACTATATAGTACACAAAAGCCCATTATATCTAGAGGTTAAAACAAACCTCTGAGTTGGCATGAGGAGCCCTGGGATGAGGGGCGGAAGATTATGGGCTGAGGATCAGAGGGACGAGATAACCGGTGACGTTATTTTCCATAGCGACGGTTACCAGGGAGACGGCCATGTTGGTAAGGGGTTTAACACGCCCTCTCCCGAGTACTTTCGACTCACCCCCACCACCGGAAGTCTCCCGTACAAAGATGGCCGCCCACATCGGGCCCCCGAGACCACGAGGGCGCATGCGCCGAGGGTCTCGCGCGCGGTCGTCCCGCCATCTTGTCGGCGCGAGGGGCCGTGAAGCGCGCGCGCTTAAAAACAACAATAAACAACAAACAATAAATAAACAATTAACGACAACAGATTAAGATTAAACAATAACAATCAATACGATACTTCGACTGTTACAATTGTAGTTTATATTACCAATTTTTTTTTTACCTCAGAAAACCCACACTAAATTAACACAACATATTGCAATAGGATTATTGCCTGAGGACTAAACATTTGTGTTTGAAATTGTAAAAAAAACAGGCATAATAATATAATTTTACTACAGTAAATATATAAATATTGCGCCCTGTTAATAAATTAGCGGGAGTGCAGAGGGGAGGCGCCTCCTCCCCGCCCCGCGTCCTCCTCGTTCTCATCATCATCGTCGTCGTCTTCTCCTCCTTCGTCGTCTTCGTCGCCTCTGCACGGAGGCTGCAGGAGGGCGAATGGGGAACGCGGCGGCGACAAAGAAAGGGGGCGAGGCGGAGAGCGGTGAGAGCCGAGCGGACGGCAGGCGAGGGGAGGGCCCGGCCTTCGCTCGGCCACGGGTGGGGACGGGCCAGTGGCCTGTACTGCCCTGTGCTGTAATGCCCTTTGATGTAGTATTTATGTAATATACTGTATTGTTGTCAAGTGCTGTCATGATCTATCCTGTCATGTCATGCTCTGTCATGTGCCGTAATGCCCTATGCATTTATATCCAGTCATGCCCTTTGCTGTTATGTGCTGTTAAGTGCCCTACCCTGTAATGGCCTGTTCTGTGGGTGTCTTGGCCGATGATGCCCTGTGTTACCTTGTGCTGTTAATGTCCTTTGCTGCCGTGTTCAATGATGCTCACGTCCTGTACTGTAATGCTCTGCCATTGTCGTTATCTGTGCTGTAGTGCACTCTGCTGTCGTCACCGGTAGTGCCCAGTAATGGCTCTCAATGTGATGTAATGTTGACGCCTTGCCCTGTACATGCCCTCTTTCTTTGTCGGGTGATGCTCATGCCATGTACTCTAATAATGTGTCCTGTAATGCCCTGTACAGTCATGCTCTGTACTGTAATTCACCCGTCGTGTGATGCTCTGTAATGCCCTTTAATGTGGTGTTTTGTAATTATTTGTAATGCCCTGTGTTGGGATGTATAGTGCTATACTGTAATTCCCTGTCCTGTGTTATAATGCCCTCTGCTTTGATCTCGTTTAATGCCCTTTGATTTTATAGTCGATGAAGGCTTAGTAATTCCACGTGCTGTGATGCCTTGTGCTCTATGCCCTGTCAGTTTATGTCCTGTGCTGTCATTCCCTGTGCTGTGATGCCCTGTGTTGTAATCTCATGTCCTTCAATGCTTCGGTGATACGATTCTCAGTAGTGTAATTAATTGTGCTGCAATGCACTGCAATGCCCTTTCAAGTAATAATATCGACTGCGTTCCGAAAGTCTTTGGTGTAATGCTATGTGTTTATACTTTATTACCTATATATAGCGTTATTCATGCTAATTGCATCCCATAACGCTGTACAGTACATTCATTATTATTGGTGTGATGCACTTGTAATGTCTTGTAATGCACTGTACTGATTGTCCTGTGGTGTACTTCCCTTTGCAGTAATGCCCTGTGTTCTGTCTCGTCTTTCTCCCTGTGCTGCAGCATTGTATAATGCCTTGTGCTGTAATGCCCTATCGTATAATGCTAGATGCTGCCATGCCCTGTTATGTGATGGCCTGTGTTGTAATAGCCTATATGTCCTCATCCTCTAACGCACTGTTGATCAATTCTCTGCTCTGTACAATGATTCCCTGTTCTGTACAGTTATGTTTTGTAATATTCTGTTGTATCATGCTCCATAATTCCATGTGATGTCATGTAATGCCCTGTCATGTCCTGTACTAAAATACGCTGTAGTGCTATTTAATGTCCTGCATCAGAATGCCCTGCATATGCCATGGAATATTTTGCCGTTTTCTGCCCTGCCCTTTTCCCTTTATACTCTTTGGGTCTTTTGGTAAAGTCACATAGATAGAATGTGATGCCCTACCATGCTCCTTATGCTTAGTACTCGGTTTAAATGTGTGTTGTCCTGTGCTCTCCTACCCTGTTCTGTCCTCTGCTGAACAGTCCTCACCAATCCTACCCTTCCCTGTCTTCTCATTACATGTCTTGTGCTGCTTTTTCCTTACCTATAATGCTCTTTCATAGTAATGCTCAGTGCTCTACTGTGCTGAAATGCTCAGTTTTTACCTCTGTTAGGCCTTTTCCCACACTGGCTTATACTGTCTTAAAAATATGGTGTCATATGCTGTCGTGAGATCTTCTGCCTCATGCTTTCAACCCTGCCCTATAATGCCCTGCATTTTAATTGATGCCCTGCCATATTTCCTGAATACTCTGCCTTGTTCCACCTCTGTTTGAGGGCCTTTCACGCCCTCCCTCTCTGTCTAATGGGTTCATGCCATTTTCTGCTATGCAGTGTCCTTCCCTGTGATGCCCTGGCTGGTGATGGGCCGTCCTGAATTACTGTACTTCGTTCTACCCTCTTCTGAACAGCTCTTTCCAGCACTGCTTTATTCTTCTTCTATTATGCCATGCCTTGTATTGTATCTATCCCTCAACTAACCAAAACCTTAGCTCACATGCTGTCTGCTGCCCAGCCATTTTTTGACCTGCCTAGTCTTTCAGCTTGGCCTGGCAGTGGAGGCATTTGTGTTTTGGAAGGGATGACCTGGCATTGGAGAAGAGGGGACAGTAAGGGAGCAATGGTCCCTGCCTTGGTTTGGTCTTGGCAGGGCATCAGAGAAAAGATGGCGGCCCTGCCCAGCCACGTCCTGACCTTCTTGCTTTGCTCATCATTGCCCAATCTTGGCTTGCCTGAGGAAGTAATTAGGAAGTAAAAGGAATGAGAGACTGAGTAGGAAGGATGGTTGGGCTCAGTTGACGGAGGAAAAAGGCGAAGGACAGGGATAGTTTACACTGGCCGGGTGTGACTCAGGAAATGATGGTAATAGGAAACTTTGGTAGTGAGCAGTCAAGGGGTTTAAGAAGAGGGAAGGTTAATTGTTTGGCCACCACTGGCCAACCTTGCCATGTCCAGCTTTGGTTGAGGAAGTTGGGTTTTGGCATGGTGTTCTTTGTGGTTAGTAGGTAGGGTTTGCTTTCGGAAAAGAAATGTGTATGAGACAAGCACCGTCAATGCATTTTTCACAAATTTAGCAAGGATCTCGAACTGCACCCCAAGCTGAAAGAAAACCCATATGCTTGCCTGGTCATATATAAATTTCATCTTTCTAAGTGGCTCATAAGATTTACATTGCATTGTACTTCCCAGAAATTGAGCAAATTTTGCATGTGCATTCACTGGCAGAATGGGCTGTCTATTGCTTTTAATACAATGTCTTCATGCCCTAGAGTCATGAAGTTATATTGCTCTAACTTGATTTGAAGCATTCGTGACTGCAGGAATTACTCTTTGGTTCTTTCGGTAAAGTCACTTAGAAAGAAAATAAATTAAATAATAGAGTACGACGTTTCAATTACAACACAAACAACCGTCATCAGGTAGAACTACATTTGAGAGAGAGACAAAATACAGACACAGAGACAGACAGACACACAGTGTGTCTATGTTGTGTGTCTCTATCTATGTGTGTGTTGTCTTTTTCTGCTTGTATGTCTGTCTCCGTGTCTGTGTTTTGTCTCTCTCAAATTTAGTTCTACCTGATGACGGTTGCTTGCGTTGTAATCGAAACGTCGTACTCTATTATTTTATTTATTTTCTTTCTACGTGACTTTACCTAAAGAACCAAAGAGTTATACTGCTTTGTTTTAATCACCTCATTAGCCAAACAGATCATTCAATTATTTTTCATACTGTAAGGCAATGGTGTTCATGTCCAGGCCTTGTAAGCCCATTTTGATGAGTGGTTTGCTCATGTAGTAAAACCCTCAAATTTCAGTGTAATGTATATATTGTGTTTGAGATAATTAATTATTGGCCATGCTAATATTGGTCCAGTGCTTGGTTTATTATCAGTATCGTCATAAGAAGCTAATGTGTTCAAAGAAGAAAGTTTTTAATATGTATTTCCTGCTTTGATGTAGATCAAAAACATTAACATGAACGAAGAAGTTGGCGCAATAGCTCAAAAGTATGCAAAGGAGCATGGAGAGATGTATGATTGAGATTACACTGAGAGACAGAAAGGAAAACATGGATTAGGGAACACACGTAGGTTAATGTCATAATTTCAAGTGTTAAGAAAATGTGAGCTTGGTTTGGACACAATGTGAGGAGGAATAATGGCCGGTGAATCCGAATAATGACGAAAGGATCAGTCCTGAAAGTGTTTTCCATGGAGATGGAGTGCTGAAATCAGGTCATTTGAGGGTGCTAAATGAACGCAGGTGTAAGAGTAAAAAAAGTTGCATATTCAAAACAGCTGCCTATTAACAATATATTGCTATTTTATTTGCCCCAAATGCTGCCCTTGCAGGGCAGGCTCATCCGATACAGCTGTGTTTATGCCGGGCCACGGAGCCCCAAATTCAGCCAGCTCAAGAAGGCGGGGTTGCATCGTTTAATCCTGGGTATGGAGGGACTCCGTCATATGTTCGTAGAGTGCTGTTGGGTGTGGTGAATGCAGCCTCAGGGGTGTACACATCCTAAAGCGTTGTCGGTTGGGTTGACATCCTTATAGACTTGTCTGTATATAACTTATTTGTTGCCGTGCAAATATCTGCCCATGCCTAAAGTTTTGGGTCCATGAAAGGTACAATTTGGAATTTGTCGCTTAATTTTGAAACCTGGATCTACCAAACCATGTCTTAGAGTTTTAACCTCTCTAAATTTCAAATTGGGTGTACTTTCAACTGTATAAAGTAATACATATTGAAAACAGGGTTAAACCCAGAGACATAACTGGTTGATAGTGACATTGCTTAATAAATCTAACTCTTTTTCATCTTATTCCTGCTGCTCATTCCTCTGATTTTGTTATACA